CTTCTCTAGCCACTGCTCAATCTGATGACTCTGTTGAGGTTCACTGCCGTCAGAGGTGCTGAACAAAAACTGGCGACCTTGAAGCGCACACTGACGGTTCAGTCGGAGAAAAGAAGGAGGGAAAACCCCGACGTGAGAGTAATGCTGGGGACGCAGTAAATCCAGCAGAAGGGTAAAGCCGGCAGAAGGGGTAAAGACGGCAGATGATGACTGTACCTGAAAAGGAATTCATTTACGCGCGGGAGGTTATCAATCTTACAGAAAGTGACAGGAGAGGAGGGCAGTCATTCAGGTACCAGTAAAACTCCACAGTTCGCCACCCTTTGCTCGCGGCTAAAAAACTTTGCACTGCTTTTGCCCTTTTTGGTATGTGAATTAATAAAAAGATTGACAAACTCTGATTTTTATTTACATATTTAACTTATATTACTATTCTTCTCTAGTCTAAACATATATATATATATAAACAATATCGCACCCACTTAAGCCTCTCCCCATCTGAGGAGTGGGGAAGAGAAAATGTATATGTCAAAGTTCTATAAGAGCTCTATCAGCACAAAGGTCTTCCCAGATGGCCTTTCCTCACTTCTTTAAGCCTCTCACCTGGATAGATCTAGCAGCTGGAGCAAGAATTAAACACTACCGTAGTACCCGGAAGAACCTTTTTTTTTTTTGCTGAGGTACGGACGGGCGGACGCAACACTCCTCGGGGGACCAGCTACCATCCATTACCGCGTTCTTTTAAACCCAGGCAAGTGTTGTTGTTGTTGTTGTGAAGTAGCAACAGTCGCGTCAGTGAGTCTAGGCCCGGGAAGAAAGGGTGGGGGGGGACTCCTCGGAGATGGTAAGCTTGTACCCAGTCACCTGATCCTTTGTACTGCCCTCTCCATCTATCAGAGTGATTGAGTTTGAGGGATCAGATGTGATCATTACCTACCTTCTTATAATTAGTTATTACACAATAATAAAGCCTTCTCTCTCTCTCTATCCCCTTGGGGGATGTTGTAACATATTGATCTTGTACCCCTGACCAGCACCTGAGTTATGAAGCGACACATTATCACATTTCTTTTTTCCACAATAATTATCCTGGGATTGCCCACCTGCACACCTGAATCCTTTATTGTACTGCCTCTCCCGTCTATCAGAGTGATTGAGTTTGGGGGTGTCAGAAGTGATCTTTACCTACCTTCTATACTTAGTAATTACACAGAAATAAATCTCTCTTCCCCTGGGGGATGATTAAAAACATATTAAATTGTACCCCCTGACAGCACCCTGTGCCTTATGGCAGCCACCATTATCACATTCTTTTCCACATCTTTTTATCCCGGAATCTGCCACTGCACACCCGAATCCTTTGTTCTACTATTATGTACCTACTTTTTATTGTATTAGGAAATAAAGTCTCTCTATCCCCTTGGGCCATGATTAATCATATTAAACAATTACCCTGTCATGCAAACCCATCATTATCTCATTTTCCATGCCCATTATCCGCTGTTCCAGATCGCCCAAACTAACTACTTACACAGATGCAGCAAGAAATGAGTGCTACTCAAGTCCCTTGACTCATTTTTAGCAAGAGCCCTAACCAACTGAGAGCAAGATCAAAATGAATTTTTAGAGAGCCACAGATTGGTTAAACACAACCACTGTGTTATCCTGACGCCAAAACTTCGAACAGGCGAAATGCATGCCATGCACTCTGCCCCAGGCCAAAACCATGGAACTCGTGTTCATCAAGAACTGCAAGAAGCCCCTATCACAGCCTTACCACCCAAATGGAAGCAGGGAGCATGGACACGGGGTGGTCCCACATTTACAAAAACAACGACATAGCCCACTCCACATAGGGCAGAAAAGCAATAGCAAAGAACTAAGATCATAGCATAACATCCATATCAAAAAATCTTTGAAAGGGTCCTAAAAGCAAGACGCCACCCTCTAAAAAACCCATCAATTACGCAACCCAGGACAACATGGGTTTAGAACAGGTCGCTCCTGTCTGTCTCAACTATTGGATCACTACGACAAGGTCCTAGATGCACTAGAAGACAAAAAGAATGCAGATGTAATATATACAGACTTTGCAAAAGCCTTCGACAAGTGTGACCATTACGTAATAGCGCACAAAATGCGTGCTAAAGGAATAACAGGAAGAGTTGGTAAATGGATCTATAATTTCCTCACAAACAAAACACAAAGAGTAATGGTCAACAGAGTAAAGTCCAAGGCAGCTACGGTGAAAAGCTCTGTTCCGCAAGGCACAGTACTCGCTCCCATCTTGTTTCTCATCCTCATATCTGACATAGACAAGAATGTCAGCAACAGCACCGTGTCTTCCTTTGCAGATGACACCCGAATCTGCATGACAGTGTCTTCCATTGCAGACACTCCCAAGGCTCCAGGCGGACATAAACCCAAAAATCTTTAAAGGGGGGCTGCAGAAAATAATATGAAGTTCAACGATGAGAAATTTCAATTACTCAGATATGGTAAACACGAGGAAATTTGAACTTCATCAGAGTACAAAACAAATTCCGGCCACAAAATAGAGCGAAAAACCAACGTCAAAGACCTGGTAGTGATCATGTCGGAGGATCTCACCTTCAAGGACCATAACATAGTATCAATTGCAGCTGCTAGAAAAATGAGAGGATGGATAATGAGAACCTTCAAAACTAGAGATGCCAAGCCCATGATGACACTCTTCAGGTCACTTGTTCTATCTAGGCTGGAATATTGCTGCACACTAACAGCATATTTCAAGGCAGGTGAAATTGCTGACCTAGAAAATGTACAGAGAACCTTCACAGTGTGCATAACAGAGACAAAACACCTCAATTACTGGGAGCGCTTGAAGTTCCTGAACATGTATTCCCTGGAACGCAGGCGGGAGAGATACATGATTATATACACCTGGAAAATCCTAGAGGGACTAGTACCGAACTTGCACACGAAAATCACTCACAACGAAAGCAAAAGACTTGGCAGACGATGCAACATCCCCCCAATGAAAAGCATGGGTGTCACTAGCACGTTAAGAGACCATACAATAAGTGTCAGGGGCCCGAGACTGTTCGACTGCCTCCCAGCACACATAAGGGGGATTACCAATAGACCCCTGGCAGTCTTCAAGCTGGCACTGGACAAGCACCTAAAGTCGGTACTTGACCAGCCAGGCTCTGGCTCGTACGTTGGTTTGCATGCAGCCAGCAGTAACAGCCTGGTTGATCAGGCTCTGATCCACCAAGAGGCCTGGTCACAGACCGGGCCGCGGGGGCGTTGACCCCCGGAACTCTCTCCGGGTAAACTCCAGGTAAACCAGTACTGTGAATAACAAGATCTTGTTCCATCAGTGACCCCTAAAAGCACTTGCATAGTAAACCACAAGAACCAGTACTGTGAACAAGATCATGTTCCATCAGTGCTACCTACAAGCACTTGCACAGTGAACCACAAGCACCAGTACTGTGAACAACAAGATCAAGTACCATCAGTGCTACCTACAAGCACTTGCACAGTGAACCACAAGCACCAGTACTGTGAACAACAAGATCAAGTACCATCAGTGCTACCTACAAGCACTTGCACAGTGAATAAAAAAGCACTAGTACTGTGAACAACAAGATCAAGTACCATCAGTGCTACCTACAAGCACTTGCACAGTAAACTACAAGCACTTGCACAGTAAACTACAAGCACTTGCACAGTAAACTACAAGCACTTGCACAGTAAACTACAAGCACTTGCACAGTAAACTACAAGCACTTGCACAGTAAACTACAAGCACTTGCACAGTAAACTACAAGCACTTGCACAGTAAACTACAAGCACTAGTAGTTGCAACTGTAAATATCAATTATTTAATTATTGTCAATTTTGTAACAATGATAATAACAAGTTAATGTTACATTGATATGTACTTTATAATTTTTTAATTATGTACGTATAAAGAACAGTGAGTGGTAACGTACCATCCTGGAGTGTAACATTCCAGCAAGTTATTAATTATGTACGTATAAAGAACAGTGAGTGGTAACGTACCATCCTAAATTTGTAACATTCCAGCAAGTTATTAATTATGTACGAAAAAAGAACATGAGTGGCAACGTACCATCCTGGAGTGTAACATTCCAGCAAGTTATTAATTATGTACGTATAAAGAACAGTGAGTGGTAACGTACCATCCTGGAGTGTAACATTCCAGCAAGTTATTAATTATGTACGTATAAAGAACAGTGAGGGGAAACGTACCATCCTGAGTGTAACATTCCAGCAAGTTATTAATTATGTACGTTAAAGAACAGTGAGTGGTAACGTACCAAATCCTGGAGTGAAACATTCCAGCAGGTTATTAATTATGTACGTATAAAGAACAGTGAGTGGCAACGTACCATCCTGGAGTGTAACATTCCAGCAAGTTATTAATTATGTACGTATAAAGAACAGTGAGTGGCAACGTACTATCCTGGGTGTAACATTCCAGCAAGTTATTAATTATGTACGTATAAAGAACAGTGAGTGGTAACGTACCATCCTGGAGTGTAACATTCCAGCAAGTTATTAATTATGTACGTATAAAGAACAGTGAGTGGTAACGTACTATCCTGGAGTGTAACATTCCAGCAAGTTATTAATTATGTACTTATAAAGAACAGTGAGTGGTAACGTACTATCCTGGAGTGTAACATTCCAGCAAGTTATTAATTATGTACGTATAAAGAACAGTGAGTGGTAACGTACCATCCTGGAGTGTAACATTCCAGCAAGTTATTAATTATGTACGTATAAAGAACAGTGAGTGGTAACGTACCATCCTGGAGTGTAACATTCCAGCAAGTTATTAATTATGTACGTATAAAGAACAGTGAGTGGTAACGTACTATCCTGGAGCGTAACATTCCAGCAAGTTATTAATTATGTACGTATAAAGAACAGTGAGTGGAACGTACCACCTGGAGCGTAACATCCCAGCAAGTTTTTAAATTTATGTACGTATAAAGAACAGTGAGTGGTAACGTACCATCCTGGAGTGTAACATTCCAGCAAGTTATTAATTATGTACGTATAAAGAACAGTGAGTGGTAACGTACCATCCTGGAGTGTAACATTCCAGCAAGTTATTAATTATGTACGTATAAAGAACAGTGAGTGGCAACGTACCATCCTGGAGTGTAACATTCCAGCAGGTTGTTGGTGCACCATAACCTGCACTAGTGCCAGCTGCTACATTAACTGTCACGTTTGTGTAGGGTTTAAAGTTTGTCAGTTTTATTGTGTTTTTGTAGTTAAAGGTTTCATTAGATCCTTGTTCATCACTCCACAGGACGTCCCATGACCAGCTGATCAAGTGGTCAGTAATTCTACACTCGCTGACTGTGTCTGTCCATTGAACATCCATCGTGGTTTTAGTTATTTTAGATAACTCGCAATTCTGTGGTGGCAGCGGTACTGTGGGAAAATTAAATTTCTGATAGAACTGAAAATGTATGAAAAATAACTCTAAAATATTATATGATGTTTAAAACTGTACAAATTATTATTTATATAGTTATAGAAAACTTGTGTTTTGTGTATCACATATCGTTGCTAAAAATAAAACAAACTGAAATGTCAAGGGGAGTATTATCTGATATATTACCTGTTAAGTCTGTTGTTGCACTGGTGAAGGCTTGGTACTGTTCATTGTCATACACAGATGCCACGGTTATAAAATATGATGTACATGCACTAAGGTCGTTAATTTGATAGAATGTGTTAGTTGTATCACTGGGATCACCTTCACATAAAACAGTATACTTGGTAGGTGGATCATCTGGTGGGTCCCAGGACACATAGAGAGCTGTGGAGCTCACTGCCTCAGCCATCAGGTTCTGGGGAGGTCCTCGACCTGACGGAGGAAATATTGTATGAGATAATGTAAGAAATTTTGTTTTCTATTAAGTTAAAACAAACATAAAATGCATTGCAACACTTTGAGAAAGAACAAACCTGACGATGAGAAGACCAAGTGAAGTAATATCCTACACAAAACAAGATTTTTTCACATAAATAAATTTTAGAGGCTAAGAGTTATCATACCTCAGCTAATTTGAAAGCCAAACAGTATCTAAGATATACTACCTGGGCAGGATGTGACCAACAACAGTAGACTAACAGCTGCTACACTACTTACTGCTAGGGGGCTGTCATACAATATTTTGCCCGCTCAAAAAAAAATCGAAAAATTATGGAAATTGAGTTATTCATATAGAAAAATAGCTTAACTCTTTGGCAACACAATTGTACGACGTTTCTACAAGAAATTATAGTCATTTATATCAGGTATGGTGACGGCGATGTGGGTAGCGCCTCTGGTCACAACTCATATATTTTTTTGAATTTCTTCCTTGTTATTTATCGCTTTTTCTTGCATTATTCTTTCGAATATAATAATTGACTATTTAGCATCATATAAGAGTAGGCGGAGCTTATACCTAGACTTCTAGCCAATCAGGAAGCATCTGGGAACACAAGCAGTATTCCCGCTCCATTATTTCGCTTATATCAACTCTACGGCTTATATATCTATCAGAATTGTTCTAATATGATATAATAAACACTATAAATAACATACAAACATGTTATATACTCTAGACTGAAAAAATGGCCCAAATATGGCGAGAGTCCACCACAATGTTTCATAAAAGAGTTATCTTTCCCATTGATTTTTTGGTCTTCTATAGAAAACGGATTTTTTGAGAGGATAATGCACTAAAACATCATTTTTACTAAGAAACCACCCAAAAAAACAAACGCGATTTTCGGGGTTTTTTTTTTTTTCGAGCCCGGGGGGGCCGGCCGCGCTCCAGGTAAAAACCCGGAAAAGAAATTTTTATTCATTTTTAGCTTTATTTTTCCTTTATTACTTAAATTAAGTGGAAAAATATTCACAAAAATTTTGTAAAATAATATTTCTCTAATTAAAATGGAACATTTTTTGGAAAATTTTCCAAAATTTTTTGGGGTTTTTGTAGTATAAAGGGCGGATTTTTTTGCAACATTCCAAAACTAAAAAAACCTTTATTTTTTTGTGAAAAAAAACGTATAAAAATTTAGACAAAATTATACCTTTAGAAATTCGAAAAGCATTGTTTTTTTCGGCCCTTTTCTACGGTGCGCCGCAAAAAGCAGAAAAAAGGCGCTCCCAAATTTCTTGCCGCCCCCGGGGCCTACCCCAAAATTCCAGTGATGGCCAAATTGCAAGTACTGCTGCAACAAATGCAAGGAACCTAAGGACAAAAAAAACGACGGTGCGACAACGAAAGGGGAAAAAAATGACAAAAAAAGGTGATGGGCATTCAAGTCCCAGACCTGCTGCCAGACTTTAAACCGAAATGAGCGTTTTCCATACATAAAATAACTGACCTCCCATACAACTGCACCGGTTTTTTAACGGGAAGACAAAATGGCAGAAAACCGATAAACTAAATCCCCAAAGGGAAAAAGACAGGCGTGGCTTTTTCTTCATCCCAAACGAGGGAAAAAATGAATTTAAAACAGGCGACCGCATCCAAACAGCCGTATGCCAACGTACAACTAGCGAAGGGGAAATTCTCATCTTTATGACGTTCATCTTTTGACAGTAGCTCATATCTTACCCCCAATCAATATCACCTTTCTAGTGCTAACGAGAGGGAAACACAGGAACATCGCGATCAACGTAAAAAACTCCAAGGTATGGTCGGTTTCCCCTAGGCCAGTCGTGGGAAAGAAGTGAATATTTAAAAACAGTAAAAGGTTAATATTTAGTACTGACCAAAATTCAAAGAATGTACAGTAAAGAGAATAATAGCAAAAAAAACCCAAATATATTTTTAAAAATCAAGGGAAAGTCAGGTTGTAGGGGGCTTTATTTCCCCCATGTTTTAAAAATGGTGGTCACAAAACAGGTCGGGAGACAACAAACACCACAAAACCCCCCGAAAAAATGGAATTGAGGGGGATTTGGAAGGAAAAAAACCCATTGATTAACCTTTTTTGGTCTTCCAAAATGGAAAGGAGTTTTAAGGGTTAATTGGTGAAGTCGAGGGAAAGGAGAGGGGAAAGGGGGAGCGTGTAATAATAATAAAGGGTAAAACTAAAAGGGGGTTTTTGTAAGTTAAGGGAAAAGTGAGCATGAAGGGGAAATTTAACTAGTAATTCAGGGGGTGATTGCTAAAGCAGAACTAAGTTACAGGGATGGAAAAGGAAATAAATAAAATTGTATATGATAAAAAACGAAGAGTAAAAAAGGTAGGCATTGGGGGTACGGGCTGCCAAATTATTTTTATATTTCTCTTAAATTTTTCCATGAAGAAAGAAATCAGTCATGGGGGTTGGAAAAAAATTGAATGGAGTAACAAAACCCCTGGACATAAAACCCCAAAACAGTTGCCACCCCTTCCAAAAAAATAAACCTCACTTCCCCCCAAGGTATGGAAACACCGCTCCCCAAAAACAAAAAAACGTGGAACACAGCTTTTTATTGTGTGCCAAAGGGGGTGATACCAAAATTTAAAAACCGGGACCTCAAACATTTTTCAGAGGAAAAAACAAAAACAGATAAATCGGGATAAGAGGTCTAGTAACTAGGATGAAAACCCCTTAACCCCAATGAAATGCATAAAAACAATGTGAGACAAAAAGCCATTATTATTAAAACCCACCACCAAAATGAAAATACACTGTATAAAGTCGCAGAAAAACAGAAAAGGCACCTTATGAAAATGTGTAAGGGGGGGTGCATGATGGATGTATTCAATTATAACAACGGTCCCAGAATTCTTTTTTGTGTGTAACAAATGCACTTTGGCCAGTTCCCCCTTTACAGTGTGACATTGATTTACCTAATTTTAATACAAATGACCCATTGCCCATATATTGATGATTATGATTGTTTTAGAAAACAGGCCCTTTCATTTTATTCATGTCAATGCAAGATCATTTCTTCCAATGGCAGAGATTAGGATTCTAGCTAACAAAATTTAAGGCGGCAGTTACAAAACCATTCTGAACTTGGTTGGATGACACTGTGACGACGACGAGGTCAAAATAAAAAATTTACAAATAAAACACTTAATAGGAACAAAAGGGTGGTGGAGTATGGCCTACTTTAGAAAATGACTTAGCTTACAACCCAAACCTGATTTAAATAACAAAAAATGGAGATTCATGGTTTAAAGTGCTGCTTCCCCCAAACCAAACCCCATTTTAGGAACTAGTTACCGCCCCCCTCCCCCAGGACCGTTCTTAAAAACTTTTCCAGATCTTGTCCGGGATTTGAAAACAATTGAAGACAATAAACTGGGCGATTTTCAATATCTGTTTTCAGCGCAAAATAAGGGTATGCAAAAGGTTAAGAAAATTTTTAGGTTTAAATAGTTAAAAACTCCAACAAATTTAAATAACCAACCCGGGACACACAGTTTCTCGCCACCCTAATGAAACAATCTGTAACGCGCGAGAAATTTATCAGTCGGGCGTCTTTACCCCAGGTCTTAGTGATCATTTCATCATTTTCTGCCCGGGAAAAAATCACTAGGGATAGGTAGGCCTACACAGGCAAAAAAATGAGGTCAACTAGAAACTACAGAAAAAGAATCACTGTCCAGACCAATTGTAAACTGGACGAGAAAACAAGTTGCACGGATAAACGTCCCTGGGGAAAAATTCAAAAAATTTTTTCACTAAAAATTTCAAAATAATTTTGCCCCAGTTAAAGAGGTTTTGGTTTAATCGAAAAACTGAACCTGGAGAATACTGAGATATTAAAAAATAAAATTTCAGGAGCCCGTGCAAAAAAGATTTAAAGAAAACAGCGGATATTGCAGCCTTAATGAATTCCAAAGGGTGGGAAAAGTAGAGAGACTTATAAAAGGAAAAAGGCAAAGCACATTGCTCAAAAAATTTGAAAGTATAGCAAACCCCAGAAAGCCCCCTTTGGGAAAAACCCCAAAACAGTTGGGGTATGCCATAACCAGAGAAAGATCTAAAATAGTATCACTATCGTAATGGGTATGCCACGAAAACTAAGGTGGCAAATTCTTTAATTCCTCTACACATCGCGCATCAACATAGTAAATAAAAAATCCTGCATCAAATCCTTTAAAAAGACTCTGTAAGTTTCAAAAAACTATCCAATAAAGGGGGAACCCCAAAAATTGTCAATAAAGTGATCTCATGACTTAATTTAAAAAGAAAATAAGAGTTAAACCCAAAAAAAAGCCAGGCCCTGATAACATCCCGTCTAAATTCCCAAAAGTGGTGCTTTTGAACTGTCAAACCCCCATTGCTCACAAAAAAAATCTATCAATACCCAATACTGTACGAGGGGGTTTCAAGGAGGCCAGAGTTACTCTACTTCAAGAAAAATAATAGGTCTGATGTAACAACTATAGGCCTGTTAGTATACTCAGTATAATATAAATTCCTGGAGAGGGGGGGTGTACTCCCCGATTTAAAATTTCCTTAATGAAAAACCATTCCCAAGCTATCAAGGGCTTTAATGATCCTACTCAACCGGACAAAACCCCCCTTTTAACTGTTATTACCTGAAACTAAATGTCAAAGGGGAACCTCATAGGTATGGTAACCCTTTGACCTGCAAAAAGCCTTCGATACTGTCAAACCCCAATATATTAGTAAAAACTTTTAAGCTATCGGGATAGGTTTTTTTTTTAATGGTTTTTTAAATCCACCTTAGCAAAAGGAGAAAAAATTTGCAAAATCAACAAAACGGAATCAAACCCCGCCATAACAGTGGGGTTTCCCCCAAAGGGAGAATTTGGGGCCCTTATATTCCTAGTTATGCAATGATATGCCTATCAGTGCAAATGGGAAACCCTACTGTATGCAAGACAGTGCTCTGTTAGGAAGGAAAGACCCCAAAAAGATATTC